CATCACATTCTGCATAAATAAAATCCATTTTCTTTCAYGTGTTTAGATATTTATTTTTAACACGCAGAACACGCTGCTGCACGTTTGATTGGCTGCGTCTTTACCTTATTATGCCTTTTTTTCTTCTCTCCTCCTCCTTCTGCACAGAAGGCAGAGGGAAATAAGGAGGCATTTTCTAATGGTTGGAAATTGCAGCCAATAAAAAACGTCTGTCGATTGTTTCCCTTTCTTTTTTTTCTTTTTATGTCTTGTTATAATTTGATCAGTCAAATGTGGGACTTTGTTTTAACTTGCGCGACACCGGTACAAGAGTGAAACATGTGAGACAGTCCTGCACAGTTTGCCTGGGGCTGGAGGTAAATTACCTGCTGATTATAACTGTCCTCTGTTGTGTGGATGAGAGAAGACAGAGGAGCTGCTTCAGCAGCTCTCCTCCTGTCCAAGCGTGCAGCGCGTTCACTGAGGGACGGCGCACAGGAGCTGCGGGCGCGCACGGCACGTGTGTGTGTGGTGAAGGGAGGGTGTGAGGGCAATATTATTATTAATAATATTAATACTGTTGCCATTATAGTTGTACACTTAATAAGAAGTGCAACCAAGGGCGACAGATGGAGCATAAAAAAAGGCGGGTTCGACAGGGGCACTTGATGGTCTGGAGGGAAAAGGGCAGGTGCTCGAGCACCACCTGACRTCTAYCTGTGCACGTCCCTGCTTCTAATATCCTACATCATACAAGCAAACCCCTTTATCGTCACAGAACTTGCAGTCCAATGCTTGAATATTTGTCTTTTAAAGTTTCTAAATTTTACATTTTACAGAATGTGACCTATTTTTACACAGGCAGTAATTCAGCAAGCTTCGTATCAGTTTACAGGGCTGTGGTAATCCTTGTAACACCAGGTTCAATCGCAGTTGCATCAGAAAGGTCATCTGGTGTTAAACAAACAGCAAACCTTTCATTGGAGTTCCCTCGCTCTGACAGTAAACTTATTTTGGTTTGGTTATAGGTCAGCCACATTAAACAGTGCTGGAGCTCATGGTCATCAGCMCGTTGTCCTCTAAACATGAAGTAATCTCTTTTTACACATCCTCAGATAAGTCTTGACTAAAGCAGAATGAATCGGAACATAAATCAGTCCACTTCCCCTCATGTCTGGTATAAATCTTCTTCTCTCCTTGTGTTCATCTCCTGCCTCTATATTTGCCTGAAGTTTCGGTGATTTATCTGTTTCTGKGTGGGAAGCAATACTTTGTTGTGACATTAGAATAAGAGACATCCGCTCCAACCTTGAGCAGATTTGTGAGAAGTGATTTAACTTTTGGACAGAAAGGCAGGTGTTGGAGGCCACTTTCTAATTCTCCTGCTGTAATCTGTCATCCTGCGAGGTGAGGCCGGCCCGGGAGCCCTGACGTATGCTGCTCATGTGTCATTAGTCAGCGAAGCCTCGACTCGCAGCCCGTTCTTAACATCACTGCCGTCTGTTATTCGCAGGTCGACTCCCAGGGGAACGTTTTGCTGACAACCTTGGAGATCCACAATGAGGTGGGCGGTAATGAGATCACAACCACTCTGAGCGAAACCCACAACTCTTCTTCCATGGTGTTCGACAACTCTGGGGTCCAGTACAGGAAGCCCAGCACGCCGCGCGAAACGGGCCGCCTCAGCTTGGACAGGAACGCCCAGCTGAAGAAAACCCGCCTGCGGAGACGATCGTCGCAGCTCAAAATCAAAATTCCCGACCTCACCGACGTGAACGCCATTGACAGGTGGTCACGGATTATATTCCCCTCCATCTTCTCCCTCTTCAACCTGATCTACTGGCTCTATTATGTCAACTAACACACACTGTGCTTTTTTTTTTTCAACCCAACATTGTCTCATTCTGGTGTTGGAATGAGATCAGACTTCTTTATGTGGCTCACCTGACTGGTCAAACCCTGAACTTTTTTTTACCATAAACTTTGGAGGAGCTATCACTCAGACCATAAATGGTGGGAGGATTTATCTATATGTTTTATAAAAACTTGCATGTGCAAACAATGACTTTGCCCTCCAACCTCTGGGGGCAGCTGGGACGAGGTTTCTCTCATTGTCTTTGAGAGAAGAGTTATGTTTCTTAAGATCAATCAATGTTTCTGCCCTCAAAATATTTTTATTATATGAGCTCACATTACTGCGTCCTCTTTAAGCTTTTTTTATTTTCTTTGACAAACACAGATGTGTTGATTTATACCCACAGACTCTGCCCTGATCATTTGACAATGTTTTGCAACAGAAATATGTTTACTTGGTGTTTACCATGAGTTGAGCGCGGGAATCATTATGTCTGAAGCCGGGTACACACCAAACGCGTTTTGAGCAGCCAAAGCAGTCAGTTTATATGCAAAGTCTGTGGTGGACGCACGTCTAGGAGCAGCGAGCCACGTTCAGCCCCTTTAGCGTGGCGCGCAAAGTAGAGATAGGTGCGGTAGGGCGTTTTCCATGCATGCAGCACATCCAATGCTGCCGACACTCGAGTTCAAAAAATTGAACTTTCGCTGCTCGACGCACCAATCAGAGAGACTCATCTTTCCACATGACGGTTTCCTGAACCTGAAACAGACGGACAGGAGCTCTTTAGCTGAAATCGACTGTCTGTAGTTGGTGTTCTGGCTGGAGATATCAGCACCGATGTGGGTCAGCAGCTCATTAAACTGACCACAGTGTTAAACTGGGCTCAGGACAAAAAAATAGTTCGTCAGCTCGCAGCTCCTGGAGTGGTGAAACTCACCGAACAAACCGCCTCTAAATCATCTGGTGAATTAATTATCTGCTGTGCGCATCGTTCGCTTGCTCTTTAGTAAATAAAGCAAAGCCATTTTCTTTATTTTATCTTTATTTCATCGACYGAAGACAGACCAGGAAAAAACCTAGATGCTCCTCCCTCTTCAGACGCGCCTTTACTCTCTGTCCCAGACTGAACGAAGTGCGTCYAACTTGAGGCGTTTGGCGTGTTTTAGATGCACAAAACGCATTCGGTGTGAACCTAGCTTGACTCTCAGACGCAACATCCAACAGCTGGTTAGCTTAGCTTGAAAACTGGAAACAGGGAAAAACGGGCAACAGTTTCACTAGAATTACAGGAAGTTTTCTCATGACTTTCAAAGGCCAAAATCTTATGTAGCAATTTCAGTCACAGCTTTTGTTTAGTATTTTTTGTTTGTTTGTTTTTGTCATTAAAAGAGGGAACGATGGAATCCACTCCAGCCCTTTATAAAACTGTCATTCTCACTCAGTCATTACTGACAATTAATGATTTGTGAATTTGCTTCKACTCAAAAAAGACCAGTTTACTTAGTTTAACACCGGCTGAGGCCAACAGCTGTTTGCTTTTACTTTTCACAACAACTGGATTATCAGCAGTATTGACGTGGACACATCAGTTCATGCTTGTCTCAAAGCACAGACACATGGACAGCTGATGCTTTGAAATATAAACCGATATGAAACATTTTAGGAAATTTGTGACCAGTGCATCTGAACATCGTTAAAATAAAAATAGGTTTGATTTGATCTTAAAATGATTGAGATTCCTTCTCTGTGACTTCAGAGTTTTTTACACCAGCGATTTTTTAGCTTATAAGAAATTCTACCTTTACAAATTCTAACAAAAATGCTTCAATTCCCTAACTGCACCACTATAATACCAAATTACAGTGAAAGAAAAATCACAGCTTGGCTAAATGTTCTCTTAAACAATTGTAGCTCGTTGTTTCTGTAATGATTCCTTTTGGTTAAACCRATATCTTACTGGTTGCAACTGATAAGACACCAAGTTAATGAGTGGAGTCTAAAGTATGTCATATGATGCACGTCAGGGTTCTACAGGATGTTTGCATGAGTTTCAGAGCCTCACAGTTTTATGCCTGATATTTGAACATGATAAAAAATGACAGATTTTTTTATATATTTCAGGGCCATCATGGACACTGAGATGCATTAAAACAAACGTTGYCTAAAAGCTGGCGTAAATATAAAAAAAATTTACAGTCAACGGTATCAAACCACAAAATAGAAACTAACCTAAATATGATGAGATATGACTCCACTCAGTTTCCTGAACTCAGGGGCTTTTAAACTTGATGTTTTYTCATAAGTTTGAGCATAAATGTTATGGTTTAAAGTTGAACAATGAAAYTGAATTTCCTTTAATCTCATACAATTTTTTTAAACATTTTTCTTTTTTCATTATTTGTTCTTAAAACAAAAATCAAATGACCAAAGTGTACACGGACCTGCTGAGCCATCTGTAACAATGTACAAAAAAGGTTTATTATCATCTTACAGCTAAATTTAAGTATATCCTAAAGTCTTAACATATATATTGTTTTTACAAAAGAGGATAAGGGCCACAAAGCAAAAAAAAAAAGGTATTTTATTTTTTCAAAGAATTCTGACTTTTTTCTCAAAATTAGAAAAAGTCAGAACGCTGTAATTTCAGAATTTGGGAAAATAAATATATTTTTAGTGTGCGGCCCTTATCCTCTTCCATACTTTTTTATTCAAGTTTTTTATGAAGTTTCTGTTCCCACGACCCAGAGACAAATCCACTTGTAAAATCCTGTTTTGTTTTGTTTATCTGCCCTCTGTACTGCCAGTATTATTGAATTATTTTGGGTGGGGTGATAAAATCTTCCCTACAGGAAGCGTCACATATACAGTAAACCTGTTGGTCCATGGTTTTGATTGGGCTCTTCACTCTGCTGGACTCTTTCAGATTTAATGTACATACTGTAACTGCACATTATTCACTCGACTTATGTTGTTATTATTGTTTCGACTGGTGATTTCTGGCCTTGTTTTGTTTTGTTAGTCTTTACACATTATCACGACATCCTTTTTGTGATTGAAAATATAAAAAAACACAAAACATATTTGAAGTATTTGCTTTCTTTCCTGAAGCCACAGCAGATAAAACAGTCTGAAGGAGCACAACTGAAGTGTTGACTGTGTCTAAAGAGAGGAAAAAAACACATCTTGCAGCGCACCATCTGCACCGCTCGGTTGAGCGACTTGCGTGTAGGAGTGACACCACCTGTCAGAAGTCCATGAAGCTCAGCAGCACGCCTGAGCTCCTGCCTCATGGAGCCAAAATCTCTGTTAGACAAGAAGAACTCGCAGCACCTTTTGTGTAAACGGTTACAATTATTCACTGCTCTTCATCTTCCTTTATTTAAAATGATGTTCATTTTGCGTCGCTGTCTCAGTTCGGCTGTAATCTGTTCAAATCTTTCTGCTCAGCATCTGTAAGCTGTAGCTCGGCTGATGAACATCGTCTGCGTTAATGAGACGATGGAGGCGGCGTATTGTGTTTCCTCTGAGATGTAAACGTGTCAGAGGGAGGTGCTGAGCTTTTATTAGATGTGATGATGTGCACACAGTGTTTGTGTTTAGTGTTTCAATATTTTGTAGGACTGTGATCAGGAGCCAAGCAGAATCAGACAAAGATAATTAATATAACAAAGAAAATTGATAATTAMATTTTCAAAAAATTGGCTGGTTTTAATATGGATTAGCTCCAATTGCTAATCAATCGTAGATGTACAGTACATCCAGTGTTTACCTTCTGAGAGTTTGATTAAAATCCATCCTGTGGTTCGTGTGATATTTTACTAACAGACAGCTAAACTTGACTCCGCTTGCTGACAAAATTTTAAGCAACAATCTTGTGTGAACAATCAGAGTATGGGTTAGGGACAACTCTCAGCTACATCAAAATGTAACTCAAAATATTCCAAACTGACTGAATTATAGTGATTTTTGTGTTTTCTAATTGAATGCCTGTGGAAATCATTTTAAAATTGGTTAACTCCAAAAAATTTAACAGTTATGGGCATACATCCAGTGTTTTGTCCAAATCTAAAACAAAAACATTATCTTACAGAAACAGTAGGAGTGAATTAAAACACACCTGGCAAACACAATAATTAATAAAGTCTTGTCAAAGGTTTCTGGTGGGAACCAAAATAAACTACACATTATGTTAGGAAGGTGTTTGAAAGGATTTGTCTGTAACGA